AAATTGATGCCATGTACAAAGAGGGCCAAATTTTGAAGGATTTGAAGTTGTGAGTCGAGAAATGCTTTGCAGCTCAGAATTGAAAGCTTAGTACGATATTGAATGTGTATATACTACGTATAGACCTTGTTAACGTGATAGAGTCAATTCCATTTACAATTTCGTGTTGCGATTGCTCCGTTATTTGCGAAAATGGGGTAATGACACAAATTATAATAATGGGGTAACCCAAACCGTATACACAGTTATAATAATCAATTTAAAGGATTCTTGGTGAAAGGAAATTCTAACGTCAAGACGCATTGAGAGTGGGGCAAAATAAGTAACCAATGTATCAATTCTCGTAGACGTGTGGAGGGATTCGCAATATGTATAGCTTGATACAGATATAGTTTATGCAAACACCCTCGCTACCGGTGCTTGTGCTCGCACTCAAACGAAAGCACAAGTCACACACCGAGCAAAGTAGAAACCTGAAGATTCCATATTCGGCTTGCAACAAGGCTCTCCGGTTATGCGATACCCGACCGCCTCCTTCCACCACTCTTCCTCCCCCTCCTACCTTGAGGTCTTCAGTAGCTATTTTTTGAGATACGACTAAAAGAGGGGTGGGAAGAAAATAAAATACCATTAAAAATCCATTTGTGTACGATGGATGGTTTTATTCTCGGCAATCTGCCCCCCCCCTCCAACGTCAAAGGGTATTCTCCTCTTTTCAGGTAAAACCCCGTCACCAAGAACGAACAATTCCGGTCCAATTGTTTGAGGGGTTCTAGCTTATAAAATGTTGTGCTTGTCGTGTTATAAAAACCTTTCTCAAGAATTCTTTTCCAACGATTCCACGGTTCATGCCAACAATGTCTTTGAAGTTACCATCGATTCGCGACTCCGACTTGAATTCACTTTATGCTGCTGACGAAGATAGCCACTTGTTCCAAAATGTTAATGATTTACCAGATGACGTCTTGATTAATCAGTACTTACCACTCCCTCAAAATATAAGTGCCAAAGCTGTCAAGATTCCTGGTACCGCCAAACCGGGGTTTTCTGAAATTTACAGAAATGCTGCTCTTCCAAATGGATTGAAAGAATCAATCATTCCTGAGTTGAACACGTTCCCAAAAATATTTGCCTCGTCAGTCAAGAGAAGAGCTAATAGTCCTTGCTTAGCGTACCACGAGTACGACTACGAGAACGAGCAGCACAAGGAAAGATATGCTTCATTCACTTACCAAGAAATCGATACTCGTAAGACCAATTTCGCTAATGGTTTGATGTACTTGTTAGAGACCAACCCATACAAGAATCTTGCCATTGAGTCCCATCAACAGATTTTGAACCACTCGAAGGAATACAAGAACTACAACAAGGACAACATTTCCTTCATTGTCACCATATATTCTTCCAACAGAGTTGAATGGCTTTTAACCGACTTGGCATGTTCAGCAAACTCCATCACTGATACCGCATTGTATGACACGTTGGGACCAACTTCTTCCAAATTTATCTTAGGTTTGACTCAGTCACCTGTTGTTGTTTGTTCCAAAGAGAAGATTGAAACATTGATCAAGTTGAAGGCAGCAAATCCAAAAGAGTTGGAACCTTTGATCACTATCATTTCTATGGATCCATTGAATGTCAAGGGCAAGTCCAACCGCAATTTAATCAAACTAGCAGAGGCAAGCAATATTAAATTGTATGATTTCGGTCAAGTTGAAAAAGTTGGTGAGGCATTCCCTCGCGAACCAACCGCACCATCACCTGACACTGTATACACGTTCACATTTACATCTGGTACAACCGGGGCTAACCCAAAGGGAGTCGTTTTGCTGCAAAAGTCAGTTGCCTGCGCTCTTCTGGCTTTTGCAATGTTGTTGCCTCACCACAAACAAATGACTGAACTTGCGTTTTTGCCATTAGCCCATATTTTTGAAAGACAAATGACGGCATCGATTTTGTTTGTTGGAGGAACTGTTGGGTTTTGTAGATTGGGCGGCACACCGTTAACCTTGTTTGAAGATATGAAACTTTTCAAGCCAACTTTTTTTGCAAATGTGCCTAGAATCTTTACAAAAATGGAGGCAATTATAAAAGCGGCAACAATCGATTCCTCATCAAGTGGTCAAAGTTCCAGTATGGGAGGTTCGGAAAGTGAATTCAATTTCAACAAGGCTTTGGTCAAAAAGTTGCGGACCAAATTTGGGTTTGATAATGTGGAATTCTGCATTACTGGGAGTGCGCCAATTGCCTCTGAGACTATCAAGTTTTTGAAAGCAAGCTTGGAGATTGGTTTTATTTTGGGGTATGGCTCAAGCGAATCTTTTGCAGGTATGTGTATGGCTTTACCATTCCATTCTCCAAGTATTGGAACCTGTGGTGCACTCACCCCTACTGTTGAAGCTAGACTCAGAGAGTTGCCAGATATGGGTTACTATTTAAACGATAAAGGTGGACCAAGAGGGGAATTGCAATTGAGAGGCCCGCAAATGTTTAGTCACTACTACAAGAATGAGGAGGAGACAACAAAGAGTATTGACTCGGAACAGTGGTTTTCTACAGGAGATGTTGCTCAGTTCACTGAAGAGGGTTGGGTCATTATATTCGACCGTGTGAAGAATTTTTTCAAATTATCTCAAGGGGAATACGTTACCCCGGAAAAGATTGAAAACTTGTATCTTTCATCAAACCCAATATTGTCCCAAGCATTTGTTCACGGTAACTCGACAGAATCGTATTTGGTTGGAATAATTGGTGTTGATCCTGCTGGTATAATTGGCTTTTTAACAGACAGGTGCAACATCTCAAACCTGCAATTGGATACCAATGAAAAGATCCTTGCAGTATGTAACAGACGTGAAATCAGGACTCAACTTTTGTTGCACTTGAACTCGACCGTCGGCTCGCAATTGAATGGTTTTGAAAAGTTGGCAAACATCTTTATTGATTTTGAGCCATTGAAATTGGAAAGGGAAGTTGTTACACCAACTTCTAAAATTAGAAGACCAATTGCTGCCAAGTACTTTAAACCCCAAATAGATGCTATGTATAAGGAAGGTTCCATTTTGAAGGATTTGAAATTGTGATTTTGGAGGAAGAGGATGTAGCAAATATATAGAAGGTCATATATATATATATATGTATATATAGTTAGTATGCATTGAATCTAAACTAAGCGCCGACAAGTATCCTTGTCGTACATTTGTAGTCTTGTGCTGCTTTGTTCATGCTTAACGGCATTTGAGCAGATCAACTTTGGTATGCATAGTGACTTTTCTGGTAAAAGAATTGCAATCAATGTCGTCAATTCCAAGATTTTGAATACGACATGTAAACCTTTTTGCGACATTAGCAGTAGCCCATTGTTTTTGAGTGGAATGAATGAGAAAGAAGAAAAATTTCTTTTACAACAAAAGACAAGACAACGCTCAGAGAAGTAGAGCTCTCACAACCATTCCTACGTCGAAACACGTTCCATACTTCACTAAACTAGCAGTGTATGTCCAATCGAAAGTGAAGAGTGTTTTTTTTTTTGCTCGTATCTAGTCTGTACTAACAATTTCTCACAGGAGTCCATAATGTCAGCTTCAATCAACACCAAGGTTACAACAAACGATGTCAACGGATTGTCATTGATAGCCGCGCACTCGCACATTACGGGTCTTGGCTTGGACGATAATCTACAACCACAAGAGAATGCACAAGGTATGGTTGGACAACTCAAGGCGAGAAAAGCAGCGGGAATCGTCTTGAAAATGGTGCAAGCTGGAAAAATAGCAGGGCGTGCAGTATTGGTTGCCGGCCCACCATCAACCGGTAAAACTGCTATTGCAATGGGATTGTCCCAAAGTTTGGGGTCGGAAGTGCCCTTTACCGCCATTGCTGCGTCGGAAGTGTTTAGTTTAGAATTGTCCAAGACTGAGGCATTAACGCAAGCATTTAGAAAGTCCATTGGAATAAGAATCAAAGAAGAGACTGAAATTATAGAGGGAGAGGTGGTTGAGATTCAAATTGATAGATCTATAACTGGAGGCCACAAACAGGGTAAACTCACTATCAAGACGACTGATATGGAAACTATTTACGAACTAGGTAACAAGATGATTGAGGGTTTAACAAAAGAGAAGGTTCTTGCTGGGGACGTGATATCGATTGACAAAGCGTCTGGTAAAATTACAAAGCTTGGTAAGTCATTTACAAGGGCTAGAGATTACGATGCCATGGGGCCCGAAACCAAGTTTGTTCAGTGTCCTGAAGGGGAACTACAAAAGAGAAAAGAGGTTGTGCACACCGTTTCGTTGCATGAAATAGATGTCATCAACTCAAGACAGCAAGGATTCTTGGCATTGTTTTCAGGAGATACCGGTGAAATCAGATCAGAGGTGCGTGATCAGATCAACACTAAAGTTGCCGAGTGGAAAGAAGAAGGTAAAGCTGAGATTGTACCTGGTGTATTGTTCATTGATGAGGTGCACATGTTGGATATCGAATGTTTCTCGTTTATTAATAGAGCTTTAGAGGATGATTTTTCGCCGATTGTGATGATGGCCACAAACAGAGGTATCAGTAAGACCAGAGGCACTAGCTACAAGTCGCCTCATGGATTGCCAATTGATTTGTTGGATAGATCGATAATCATACACACTTCAAACTACACCGGTGACGAGATAAGAACCATCTTGTCCATCAGAGCCAATGAAGAAGAGATTGAATTGACGGGTGATGCCCTCGCGTTGTTGACTAAAATTGGACAGGAAACCAGTTTGAGATATGCTAGCAATTTGATTTCGGTTGCACAACAAATTTCTCTCAAAAAAAGGGCATCACAAGTTGAACTTCAAGATATAAAAAGGGCATATATGTTGTTTTTGGATTCTGATAGATCTGTGCAGTACTTGGAGAAACATTCTTCACAGTACATTGATGATTCTGGAAATGTTGTCATAGGGAATGGAGAAGAAGAAGAAGATGAAGATGAAGATGGCAAGACTAATGGTGATAATGTTGCGTCCGAGTCTAAAAGTCAAGGACAAGACGAGGATAAAATGGAGACTGATTGATCTATTTGCATATTTCTTCATCTACAGCCCATTTGTACTATTCAAAAAAAAAAAATTGTTATAGCCTTTATATATATATATACCTTTTCTTTTCTACACATTATAGGTTATCCACTTCCCTTTGTATTCAAAATCAACGCAATAATCATGCCGTATAGACCCAAGACTTCAGCAAAGATAAGAATCAACACTATTCCAACAAACAATCTTGGTTGGTGCATAAACTGTCTGACCCCTTCGTCGCCAACAATACCAATTGCGTATCCCGATGCCAAGCATGCAAACCCTACGGTTAATCCACATGCCAAATGCATGCATCCGTTAAACAACGAGTACTTGTCCGTTGGTGACAACCCCCCAGCAATCAACACGGCAACCACCAATCCATAAACTGATAATATACCTGACATGACCACTGGAATCAAAGACTTCATAATCAACTCAGGAGTGAAAGTACCAATACCAGCAATACCGATTCCTGATTTGGCTGTACCAATGGCAGCACCAGCACAAGACAACATCATTGCGGCTGCACATCCACCAAACCCAAGAAATGGAGCAAAAGATGGGTAATATTCATCTCCTAATGATTCTGACATGTCTTTCTATATTTATCGTAATAACAACCTCTTTTGTATTATTTAGCTAGAGCGACTATGGCTCCGTTGTATCAAAATGATAGTGTGAGTAAATGCGCTGTTGTCGAGGCTTGACTGTGTCTTGTCTCGTAAATCGTTTGAACTTTGAAGAGTGAGCAATAAGGAACCGAAGCAGAAAAATTGAAAATATGGATTTTTTTTGTAAGTAGTTGCACGACCTCAACTTACAGAAACAGAGGTTTCTCCTTGATTAGAAAAGCCTGGTCACTGCTTTACATGGCTTTGTTGGTTCATCTGTAAGTAGCTTCAGATTTTGTGGACTTTGCTTCAAACACGAATAATACTTTGCTTCAGCCGTATCAAATATTATTGGCGTGTTGTCTCATACAAAGTTTGTCACCAAGTTGCGATTGAGTGCGTCGCGACAAAGTCAAAAAAATAACAAAAAAATAACAAAAACCGCAACAGAGAGGGTTCCCATTGCATAAATACACACCCACTTCACAGACAACAGACAACAGGAGACACATTATGTCAGCTCTGGCTTTGAATATCCAGAACGATTATGAAAAGATCTTTATTACAAGAAAAGAATTGAAGACACTATACAATAACATCCTCAAGTCTCTACTTGTAAAGCTCAATTTGCACCTACCCACATCCAACAATGATCCAATCAAGAATGAGGTATATCTGAAAGTGGAGAGTTGCTTGCTAAATACATTCCAAAATCTACTAAGCTCTCTTTTGGTAGATGGAGAAGATCGAAGTAGAGACTCTATAATGGAGCTTTTACTGGTTGATGACAACGACAATGACGTGGAGCCATTTGACATTGAATTGGATAACGAACTACGAGCTATCTTAACTGAGTATGATGATGTTACTGTTGAATTGAGTGAGTTGAAGCGTGTGCTACAGAAGAGCATTGTGGATAATTACCAAAACTCCGTAGCTCGTATAGACGATGAAGTCACCCAGGTGATCCAACTCATTGACGACAATGTTGGCCGACGTGAAAAGGATCCTTTGGCTGGTGAGGCTTTAGAAAGTTTGAACGAGGTGGATATTGACCGCATGAATGCGGATTACTTCAAGTATTTGCAAACAATCGACAAATTGAGTGAAAGAGTACCGCACTTAAGAAAGGAGATTGGTGAATACTCGAAACTGATTGACTTTTTGAAGGAAAGGGAGATGTAGATTGTATCTGCTGCGGAGTTAAGTCGTGTTGATGCTTCTCGTGATTGCTGCATTTTGTCTTGTGTAGAAGGATTACCACAATGGAATACTTTATCCATTCGCTTACATCTCCTCTGTCACTACTTGTCTAAACGGCAAGGGGCATTCCAAGACTAAGCTGTTGCACTTGCTATGTTTGATAAGTCTTTCTCTTTTGTGTATGAATTTTTTACTTATTTGGTTTGTTTACGTTTTATCCGCTTTGGGAAATGCATATAAAGGTAAAGTATCTTACTCCTGTAATTCAAGCCCACCTATTCACAATCCTCACCATCTTCTTCTTGAAGAAACCTAAGAGAAACATACCAGGATACCTACAAGCAATTTATTGTTGTTGAGCTTGCGTGTTTTTTATTTGTTTGAAATATTAAGATCATGCCCTTCTATACCGTGGGAGGTTTGCAGAATGAGAAAAACCATGTTCTTAAACCAACTACAAGACAAAACGTCTATACCCCTTCAAAATTAAAGCAAGCAAAAAGTTCTGCAGACGAATCCGACCAGGATCTTGACCTACTAGCGCAACAACTAAATGTATCACCAACAAAAAGACCAATCAATTCAGTCTCTTCCCTAAAGACAAAGTTTGGATCTCCATCGGCAACAGTATCCTCGTTTAAGTTGACCCCCAAATCCTCCACTAGCAGCAACAGATCCAGCAAAGAGAATGCAATTGACTCCGACGATGAAACACCAAGTTGGGCAAGGAAAAACTATAAGGATATTTTGAACAAATCCCCAGTTCGTTCCCATCCAAGATTACAAAAGCAATCCGCAGGTGTCGAAACTGGACCCAAAAAATTAGCATTTGCTTCTCCTAGTCATAATTCATCTACTAGCTCCCCAGGATATGAGTACCTTTGTCGTATTGAAGCTATCAGACAATGGTTGGAAGAGGTTTTACAGGAAGCGATTCCACAATCGCCTGTTGAACTAATCTCATACATTCGAAATGGTATCTACCTCGCCAAACTAGCAAATGTCGTATTACCTACACAAAGAAACGTTTTCGTGGACGGTACTCGACTTCAATTCAGACACACGGAAAATATAAATCGATTCTTTCATTTATTAGACTTTCTAAATGTTCCAGATTTGTTTAGATTTGAACTTACCGACTTGTACGATGCAAAAAACGTTCCAAAGGTGTGGTTTTGCTTGCATGCTTTGAGCTACATATTGAATAAAAGTGACGCGAGCTACGCCAAAATGAATGATTTGATGAATAAAATACTGTTCGATGGTGAAGACATAATTGCAGCCAATAGGGCCTTGGTAAGTGCTCCTTTACCCAACTTTACAAGTGCAGACACAGGAAACGCAAAAGAAGATTCAAGGTTCATGAATAATGTTATGTCGCCTGTCAAGGCAAAGGTAGAGAAGCTCGGTCCTAACCCGTTCGTAGAGGAAAAAGACCCCAACAAGACACACCCTGATAAGTTTGAAATCAAATTGCGGGCATCTACGGTTGAGAGTAAGCAAGCAAGAGTGAGCCGGGACTTTTGCTTGAACTCAACTCCTGACAGTTTCAGTAATAATGAGTTGGAAGATAACAATCGGCACATTGTCAAATTGCAATCTTTAGCCAGGGGGGCCAATTTCAGATACACAATGTTTGTTGACAAAATTAGGCTTAAATCATATGAAGAGGATTTGGTTCGTCTTTTCTCCATCATTCGAGGAAACCTCTCGAGATTAAAAACTATTCATAAGCATAGAAATGAACTCCGGGCATTCAGTTACGAGATTGTGGAGCTTCAGTCTTTGATAAGAAGAAAGAACGTGACTGTTAAGAAACCACAAATACAAGATGATGAAATGGTACATTTTCAATGCATACTCAGAGGCAAGTTTGTTCGAGACAGAGTGAATGACCAGAGAATTGCCTTACAAACATTGAAGCCATCTATTACACAGTTACAATCCATCGTGAAGATGAAGTTTGTGTATAGCAGAGTGAAAGTGCTTGTCCTGCACAAAGATGAAATCTTGCCACCTATTACAGAATTGCAAGCTCATTGCCGAAGCAAACTTTACAAGAAATTTTCTAGGTCACGTCATGTTGACGTTTCAGAAGTTATCGAGTTGCAGTCTTTGATCAGAAGAGATGCCGTTATTGAAGAAATTAATCGAAAGCACATGGTTGTCAGATCCACAAAGAAAAAGATGATTGAATTGCAAAGCATTGCTCGAGCAGGAATTGCAAGGTCCAGTTTGTGCAACAATGTGTTAATTGCATTGATAAGTGAGGACGACGTTTTGAGTAGCCTTTCCGCATTTCACCGTGGAGAGAAATTAAGAAGGTCTATTCAGAATACGAAAATGGAGTTGAAACTGTTGGAGCATTTGTCGGTTGTTCCCGTTCAAACTTTGTTTAGGGGTGTTCTTGGAAGGTTCAAATATGAAATTGTTTTGGATGACCTTTACGAACATGTTAACTCAGTTATCAAGCTTCAAGCTAAAATTCGAGCAAACGCTGTTAAAACCACTTTTGGTCAAATTATGCCATACTATGAACTTCACACTGACAAGGTGATCAAAGCACAGGCGATATGCCGAAGTGTATTGGCCCAAAGCTCTTACAAATCGCTTCTAACCAGCACACGTCCGACATTAGTGGTGTTGAGACAATTTGCACATCTTTTATCTAATAGTGATGGAGACTTTGAGCAAGAGCTCCAATTGTCGAAAATAAAAGACTTGATCATCGAAAAGTCCAAAGGTAACGAAGCTTTGGAGGGAAAAATCGAACATATTGACTTAAAATTGAGTCTCCTACACAAGAACAAGATAACTGTTGAAGAGTTTACCAAATTTAAAGGTCCCAATGAAAAGCGAGTTCATGCCAACGAAAAGCCAACAAATTTGAGCATCTTGAGCAAATCCGCAAAAGCCAAGGTTGAGCTCTATCTGAGTTTATTTTATTTGCTCCAAACAAAAAGTGAGTACTTGGCTAATCTTTACAAATCAAATGACTACATTCTGAAGAACACGGCAGATTATCAGACTTTGTTAGCCAACACGATTCAGTTATTCCCAATTGTCGAGCCATCAATTAGTCGCCGCTCTAGGGAAGAGTACTACTATATGAAATTACTGCTTATGATTATGCGAGATGACATGTCGAGATCGCAAACGGTTACTGATATCTCCAAGTCTCAATTTACTCACTGGACCGAATTTGTGACACATTTCAACAATCACACATATCAAAGACAACACTTGAAGTTATTGGCTGGCAAGTTTGTACATAAGATCCTCGATGACGACGAGTTAGATTTTGAAAGTGACCCTACAATAATTTATGCCAGTATTATGTCGCATGATCAAGGAAACAAGTCCAATGTTAGCCCACAGGATGCAATCAAAGTGCCTGAAGTATCGTCTCAGTTTGTGCATAACTTAATGACGTTGCGTGATTCTTGTTCAAATTTATTGAAACTTATTGAATCAAATGTTTCACGTTTGCCCATTCAAGTCAGAGTCATTTGTCGCGAAGTATATATGCTCGCTCGTGCAAACTTTCCCCAGTTACTGGAGCAGCAGCACTTGGCTGTTGCAGGTATCTGTTTCTGGAAATACTACTTCGGCTTGATCATCCTGTTTCCTGAAAATTATGGAATCAATTCGAAACCATATTTGAAAGGACAAGTCAACTTGCGTCACTTGCATAGGCTGATGCTCCAATTGTTCAGCATGAAACCTTTCACAAATAACTTTTTGAAGCCACTCAACGATTACCTTGTATCGAGCGTGGATTCCATCCAAACTATAGTACGTGAGATTATCAGCGTCAACAGCATTGACAAAGAGTACAACTTCGAGGAGTTTGGTGACATGGTGGCTGAAGCGCCTAAGTTAACCATGAAGACTAACTCAATGATTTACCTCGAAAAGGTGGCTTTGTCCAATGTTAGCACCATGGCAGAGTCTGCGGATGATCCATTGCTCAATGTGACTCAGAAATTGGAAAACTTGTGTACTTCGCCTTCTGATTTGATTGCCTTGACTGATTTGTCTACCATCACCATTGTATTAGATCGAAACATGCAGGAAGAATCACTTTCTGATTCGAAAACAAAGGTGTTATTTGCACAAGCCAAACGCAGCTTGTTGTATATAATGCGGGTGCAAGAAGGTGATGATTTGTTAGAATTATTGATTTCAGGAATAAAGCCTGTACACGAGCACAAATTCAGAGAAATTATCGATTCGGAGAGACAAGATTCAATGTCGAGCACAAAGATGTATTACAAAACATCGCTCGGCGACTTGAACAAGACGACCTACCATGAATTGAAAAGAATGTGTTTAGAATCATTGTTGAAACTTGAGGCTATGGGAGAAGTTACCAGGAAAAATTCGTTCCAGGGATTATTGAACCAAATCGCAGCCGATATCAAAGGCAAGACCACTCAACGAAAAGTTAGAAGTCAACAGCTTGAAGCTTTGGACCAAACTTTTACAAAGTTGTCCGACAAAGAGAGATTTTTACGTCAACAATTGAATGAATACAACCGTCACGTGGATAGCGTTCTTGCTGATTCGCAGTTGAAGCCAAAGGATAAAAAGATTTTCAGCATCATACCTGTTTTCAGCAAGCAGTACTTCTACAATCGTGAGTTACGCAAAAGGAATAGATTGCCGGAATTTGGATCTTATAAATTATCAGTTAAGAAACTTAGAGATCAAAAAATTTTATTACATGTATCTCCCAGTTTGTTGGAGAGTTCCAAAATCGAAATCACTTTCAGCTGTCACCAAGTAGGGAGGTTCACGGTTGAGGCGTCAAAGAATTTGGTTGTTATGGCAGGAGCTAGTAGTGTGGTTACATTGGACGATTTGTTGACGTTCCAATACGAACAGAAACGGACATTCACCTTGTTTAATGGGGACGCTACTTTTGATGCAAGCAATTTCATTGCGTTTATTTTCAAAAGGTTCTACGATGTTAGGGGAGAGTAAAAAATTATTTAGGTTTTAAGTAGATTCTAAATGGGTGTGCAATACTTACTTTTTAAGCAAACTCTCGATTTTGTCCTCTAAGGCTTTCAATCTCTCGTCCTTGTCCAAATTGGCTTTTTCTAGCTTGACAATATGCGATTCAAACTGAGACACCAAACTGGACAATCTGTCAATTGTGGATGCTAATGTAGGTCTTGCATTGGTAGGCTTGGTTGATTTGTCTTCATCGGATGCCGTTTTAGCTTCTTCCTTTGATTTGTCTTTGGATGAAGGGGCGGAGTCTTTCTCGTTCTTTTCCTTGTCATTGACCAATTTCGGTGTTTCCACTTTATTTTCAGCTTTAGTGGGCTTGGGCTCAGTGGAAGTTGCCTCAAGTTTCAAATTCGCATTTTCCTGTTCATTTGCCGTGCTCAAAGGTGCGGAAGTCACTGTTTCACTCTTTCCATCTTCTTTAATTTTACTTTCTGCAGGAGAGACCGACTTTGTTTCTGGTTTCTTCACCTCTTCCCATCCATCATCTTTTGATTCCTCGGCTTCACTTGTTTCTTCCTCATCCGATTGATTAGCTACTTTATTCAACAAACTACCCACCTCATTTGATTTTTGTAACAACTCATCTACATTCTTGTCTGGACTTCCACTTAAAGACGAGTTTTTCTCACTTGATTGACCTTCTTTCTTGGCTGGTTCGGACTTATCTGCCCTGGGTGATGACGACAAAGGCAAAGGTGAAGACTCTTTTGACTTTTTCTCTTGCTCTTTTTTCTGGCCAGCTTCTTCCTTTTGTTTCTGCAAATCTCTACTTTTGGCCTCTTTGACCTCAGAAACATTAGTGGCAGGTTTGCTATCCTTCAAGCTTGGCTCTTTTCCTTCATAGAGAGCTTCCATATTCATCAAAACCGGTCCATTAACCTCTTTGCCATCAAGCCACTCCTCGGCACTAAGGGCAGGAGTTGTAGAAGGACAATCTGGATAAATGTCCAGTTGGAATAATTCCGATCTTCTGGGGACAATAAAGCTAATTGGTTCAATCAGAGTATCCAAAACTGTCTTGAATGCTCGCAAAACTTCGTTTTCTTTAACATTTACGGAGTGTTTAGGAACAACTGCGAATCCTCTTTGTGGGTCGGTGGATGCATATTGAGATAATTCATACAACTCATCAGTGTCGTACTCATAATAACGAATATTACCATCACCTTTTCCAGCAAGGTATAAAATCGAGTTTGCAGGGTCGAAATAAGGAACGAGAACACCTGAGGATGCATCGATAACCATGAATCCGCCAATTGGACCGTTGTCAATGTGCTGAATGTCCCATACGCCAACTTGACGATCAGACAACTTGGAAAATCCAGTAGTCACTATTCTGTCAGTGTTTCCTAGCCATGTAATTCTAGAAGGTTTAGCTCCAGTGTGTCCTGGACCCTCTGATAACACTTTTCCTTCCCTAACATCCCAAATTCTAAGCTTCTTGTCTCTAGACGTAGTTGCCAACAAGGACCCATTGTAATTAAAGGCAAAAGAGGTCACCAAGTCTTTGTGTTGTAAAGTTATTTCGTCTTTACCGGTTTCCGTATTCCAAATTTTGACAGTGTAGTCCAAAGAGCTCGAGGCTAAGATATTTGCTGCACAAGGATGGTATTCAATCAAACCAACTTTTCTAGTATGTCCCAGCAACACTTTTGAGGGTTCCGTAATATCCCTGATTTCATCATTCTCATCGAGATAACGATGAAAAGAGTAGTCCTGCGGAATCTTCCAAATCAAGATTTTACCATCGTCTGAGCAACTAGCAATTTCTTGCGAGTCAAATGGGTTGAAAGCAGTGTCCAAAACGGGACCTTTGTGGCCCCTAAACAATGAAACCTTGTCGGGAGCTTTGCCAACTTCTTCAACGGGAATAACTGCAAACGCTCCACCACCTGATGCATCCCAGTTTGCAGATATGTACTTTCCATTGGTTTGGATAATGTTGGAATCCCATGCGTTCTTTGTGATTTTGAGGTTTTCATAGCACAATTCCTTTTTAGAGCCTTGTCCAAAGACATGGCGATATTTGGACGCCCTGACAAATTTTCCACTATATTGTTTACAAAGTTAGTCAATTGTGAATTGTAAAGGAATTGAACATTGTGATATTACGTACCTCATAGTATGTGTCTATATGTAAAGTATATGCGTATCCTGGATATCTGCAATCTCTATAGACGTCAATTGTTTGTGCAAAATGTGTGCATATTTTTTCAACGACAAACAACAACTTTACAAACAAACAAACAAACACACAGTAAAATACATTTCAGTGTCGTGTTTTTATTCCAATTGTCGTAAAGTTCATAATTGCGACACAACGCAACAGAATAAATTTTTTTCTTTTTTTTTTTAATTTATTTATTTTTTATTTATTTTTTTCTTCTCAACACAACGGTTTGATGGATTGAATTGGATTATTCATCATTATAGGGTATTTGTACACAGCATCCACAGTATTACCACTTACTGTTTTGGTTCTTATTAGATCTTAGCCCTTCTTTAATATTCCGTCGATATGTCATTGTCTCGAGTTTTCAGAGCGAGGGTAAGAATGCCGCTCACCACTACCAGACTACCGATCCAATTTTCTTTGCAAAGATTCCAATCTTCATCTGCTAGTCTTCCCCAAATGGGTGAATACGAAACCCAAATTTACAACATCCTACAAAAAGAATTCGATCCTGTCAACTTGCAAGTCCAAGATGTACTGGGAGGATGTGGTTCCATGTTTGCAATTCTTGTAGAGAGTCCCAAGTTTAAAGGATTGCCCATGATCAAACAACACCGATTAGTCAATGATCTTTTGAAAGATGAAATTAAGAAATGGCATGGACTTCAGCTTAAAACTAAATCAGCATAAACATTAGGTAACATTCTATCATTGGTTTCACTTTATTTATATATTGTACATAGTAGATACAACAGAGTGTACCACGCACTCTTGTACCAATTAGACAAAAATAAACAATTCACATTACTTTTCTTATTCAACAACTTCCTCCTTCTCTTCAATGATTTGCTCCTTAATCTCTTCAATAATCTCGGCTTTAACCTCGGCGGCTTGTGCCTTCTTGTTGGCATGTTTGGCTCTGTATGCTCTCCAGTCCTCCAATGCCTTTCTTCTAGCCAAAATGGCTTCCTTAACAGCTGCGTCTGCCTCCATCGCATCGACTTCTTCAAATTGCGCCGAGTATTCACGCAAGTTGGAACGAACCTTCTTCTTTTCGGCACTCGATAACAAACTATCTGGACGAGGTCTCCAAATAAACTCCTTGAATTGATCAACTGATTCATCTCTCAACAATCTACCAGTAAACTCGTATAATCTGTATCCATTGTCAATAGCATGTAACCATGAGGAGGACCATGCAACAACAAATCTACCAGAAGGATCCCATGCGATGTTTGTCATCCCAACATATTGGTCAGTCTTGAGCAATTTGACATTTGCTGGAGCTCCCTTTTTACTAGTTTCATCTTCAAATGAAACATCGAAAAACTCAATTTCTCCTGACGAACGAGAAATGGTTGCAACAACAGCATATCTGCCCTTTGGTGACCAAGCAATAGTGTTTGAATGTTTGTTTTCAATGACCTTGTACGCCTTGTATTTCGAGTTTCCGGATTTACCTTTAGCAGCCTCTGGTGCATAGAATGTAATGCTATTCTTTGGGATGGCCGGATTTGGATCTCCATCATCTAAACGACTAATGGTGATGAATCGTTCACTATTTGGTTCCCAACCAAAATTGACAATAACATCCTTCAACTCAAGCTTCTCAACCGGCACGTCTTTTTCTCCCAACTTGAAAAAATCAAGATTGGAGAATGTGGTTTTACCTGATTTGGTATGTCTATCAACTTTAACACACAAAAGCTTACCTTCACTTTGCCAATGCATTTTGCAATCACTAACTTGGAAAAGATTTACAGTACGCAAGATCTGCCTGCTTGGAATCTGCATCACAGCAACTCTGGCAGTTTGATTGGTACTTTCTGGAGTCCAGTAAGACAAAATGTGTTCAAGCTCTGAACCTTTATTATTGTGCAATTTAACACCTGCTGGGGCCCATTCGAAATCCTGGATACCATCAATCTTGACCAACTTCTTTTCCAACAACTGGAAACTAGGAGTCTCATAGATCGCCAAGGCATCTGGACCTTGACGTGCACAATACTTGTCATCAAAAGACCACTTTACTAATGGCCATGGCATTTCCTTTTGATGTTCAAGATGAGGAGGTAATGCAAAAGTTCTCACCGGCTCTCCAGTAATCATATCCCAAATAACCAACTTGTGGCCCTCGCTTTCTGGTCCAAATGGGAATTGTTGCCTGTCAGCAGCAGAATCTGGCAACGCAATTGGTACAGGTGACAATGTAACCATATACTTCTCATTTGGCGAGAAATCTACAAGTCTAACTTGGTTATGGAAAAATCTCTTGATACTGTGGAAATCGGCTCCACCCCAAGATTGAACACCTTGTGGATGAATTGAAAAAAGATAAGTACCCTTTGGTGAAAACTTGGCATATTTGGATGTAAATCCCTTTCTAGGCTCGACAACTGGTTCTGGGTCGTTACCCTTTTTGCTCCAGCTAATTCCAACAGTTTCTCCGTAATGCGTAACCACTTGATCCCTTCCTTGTGCATCTTGTAACCAACCATGCAAATATCCATGTGATTTAAAAGGTTCCACCTCCGGTTCTTTAAACTCGGCACCAGCTGAACCGTACTTTTCAATATCCGAGAACTTATTAACCAATAATCTATGGTTTTGATCCAATTTCTTACCATGCAATTTTTTGATTGCTGCATCAGCCTCTTGAGGTGTCTTGTATTGAATAAACAAGTATCCTTTTGATTTCCCATCGGCCAATGGCATGTAAAGACCTTCGTCACCGTCGACAATCTCCCCAACTGTACCAAACAATTTTCTAAGAACTTTGGTTAATACAGGGACTTTAGATTCCGGTGCAATGGGGGCGCCATCCACGATGATATAATTGTCTAATCCGATATCCGGTTCATATTTCTCCTCCAAGTCTGAGAAGTCAATATCGTTTAAATCGATTTCTTTCTCTAACTGCAAGTACTCCTCTTCGTTGATTGACATGGTGGTGTAGCAGCAAGAGGTGGACGAGGCGTGTGTAGTAGAGCTGATTAACTATTGATGAAAATTTTTCAGTTATTTTTTTTTTTGTGTGGGTTTTTGTGAGACGAGAGAACCAGAGAGCGAGGGAGCGAGGGAAAGACAGAGTGAGAGAGTGAGAGAGTGTGAGAGAGTGTGTGTGTGTGTGTGTGTGTTTGTATTTGTATTTGTACTTGTGACAACTGCATCTACAACTACTACTCTTCAAAAGATGTGGTTTGACTCTTGAACACGGGCAAATGGTCTGCTAGTTACTATGGAGTACACGGGAGATCTTGTATCCCAAAATTTGGGGAGAGAAGCAACATAGCAAAAGACAATCGCCTACTCTAATTCAACCATGGCACACGCCACGACCATTATGCAAGTAGATCAAGTCTCTTCAACTCTGGTTCCAACTGCCCTTGCTTCTCCAAGTTTTTCAAATCCTGTTCATTACCCCAATACTTTCCCTTGAAAAACAACAGAGGCACCCACTTTTTGCCCACAATCCCAGTAAATGCATTCTCTAAAGCAGCAGCATCATCCTGGTTTGCAATGTTGTCCAACTCGATAATGTGTAGTTTGTCGTAGATGCCTAGTTTTTGAAATAGTCTGTAAACGTAGTGGCAATCGGGACACCACGATTTTGATAGCATCAAGTACGGATGCTCTGATATCAATGATTCGGCTTTGGTGATGAACGCATCTGATGATGTTGTTGTTGTTGGTTGTGTTGTCAATGGATGGGCCGACATTGTTAATTGCTTGTGTGTCTGTGTGTGTCTGCGTGTGTCTGTGTGTGTCTGCGTGTGTCTGTGTGTGTCTGCGTGTGTCTGTGTGTGTCTGCGTGTGTCTGTGTGTGTCTGCGTGTGTCTGTGTGTGTCTGCGTGTGTCTGTGTGTGTCTGTGTGTGTCTGCGTGTGTCTGTGTGTGTCTGTGTGTGTCTGTGTATATATTGTGGTGATGTATTGGTGAAGAATGCACGGTTAAGGTCAATAGAAAAAAAATCACTGTGGCTCGATTGCAAAATCCCTTCACAACTCAACCACGATCACAATACTATCACTTCATCACTCTTCAAACCTGTATCAACATGACTCCTAATTTCTCACCGATGACTTCCGGTGGCTATGCCATGTATGGCAAGCTCCAATGGCTTGGTCTTGACCTGCGGCAATACATTCAGGGGTACTCATGAGTTACCGATATATAGAAATATCTTCACAAAACTTCCTGATGTAATGGCTGTAGAGGCATGGAACCTTTGGTATGCTAGTGGAAACTTTATTATTGTAAGTCTGTTGCAAACATTTACATTGATGAAGTCATGATTTCAGGGGAACCAAGTTAGACACGCTGCATTATTTGGAACTAAAAACAGAGATGGTGGGGAGAAACACCTAGGTGACTCTGTGATCATTTGAAGATAGCAGTGACAGCAGCAATGAGCAAAAGGATCTTACAAGACTGCGGGATAGTCTTTGTCTCAGAATGAGCATCTTCAGTTATACAATATCGTATAAGTACCATACATTACAACTATCATATCTGTGACCTATACTTATTCCATTCAATCACTAGCATGTGCACAAAATTAGACCCTCTTCTCCGCGATAATTAACCAGGCAAGTATACATCACAGCTCGAATCCCGCACCAGAAAGTTCATTTCTCAATTCATTATATCGCTTTTGAGCTTCTTTGTCCTCCATTATGCGTCTTTCTCGCTCTGCCTTCCACTTTCGTCTCATTTCAGTTAATCTCAACTGCGAATTCGGTGGCTGAGACTCAACTTCAAAGGACATTGACCTCGCTCTTTGCAAGTCCTCTAATTCCCTTCTTAAAATTGCATTTTGCTCCTTGAGTTTTGTCACTTGTTTCTTCAATACTTCTGCGTGTTGTGTCTCATCTTCCGCTAGCAACAACCTCACATAGTTGTTAATCAAGATGTCAGTTGCACGAACAAAATATTCAAACATGGACTTGTGGTTGTCTCTCAAAGTTCGAGTACTGCTTTCATCAAGATCAACAACAAGGGCTTTCTTGATCCTCTCGTATCTCCTTATTGGGTTGAGTAACGACTCATCCTCGGCTACTTTATTGAATGACTGTATCAACTTTTGAAATTCGCCCAAGTCGAATTTAAGCAAATCCTTAAATTGAAACTCCATCACTGACAACCGTTTGAGCACCTCCTCCTTTCCGCTGGACTCGGTGTAGGTAACCAAGTCAGTCATCTTCTTCACTCTTGATCGTAGCTCTTCATTCTCCTTTCTTATGGTGGATACGATAAACGACATTTGAGCTTGCTCGGCTTCGTGTAACTGTTGCTGCTTCATGGCACGATTTAAATCTTCTCGAACTGCACTCTCTCTGTTTGTTTGTTCGCTGAGATATGTTGTTTCCAGGTTTGCACTGTGTTGCTCTTCTTTCTCCTCTTCCACTGGAGTGTGGCGAGATGCAGAAGATTCTCGAAGTGCGTTTAGTTCCTCCAATAGTGATGCATATGCGTTTTGGAGATCTTGGTGTTGTATCATTAGACTGTCATATTGAGTCTGCGACACTGTGTCCTTGCTGCTAGGCAATGCATTTTGAGGTCCCTCTTCTCCAGTATCATTCTCTAGTTGGTCAATTTTAGACTGTAGGTACATCAATTTGTCATTGTGTTCTTTATCTACAGATTCAAACAATTGTTTGGATTCCATATTGGACGCATTTGCAATTTTAAGCTGTCTTTGCAACTCTTGCACTTCTTGTTCTCTGTCATTTAGTTTATTCAACGTGGACTCATATCTTTCTGAAATATCTTTATTCTCCATTTTCAAATGTTCTACTTCGTGGATCAAATTCGTTGTGCTATCCAGTTCGTAATTCGTTCCTGGTGGAGTTAGTGGTGAGCTTATGTTCTGTGACACTTGATCCTTTTTATTGATCATTGCAATCATAGCATCTTGCGCAATGTGAACAAGATGTTCCACTTGCTCGTCAAGCGATGTGGCCAACTGTTGATCTAAACTGCTCCTCCAGTTTGATAGCCTCTCATCTTGGCGCAAATAATCGGCAAATTTCTTAATTAGACTTAAACACTGACGATGGACACTGTTCAAGTAGTCCAATTCTGCGCTTTGCTTGTTGGCACAGCTTTCAAAACTTTCAAGATTTATTTGCAATTCGTTTATGATTTCAAGACACTCTTTCTTGTCAGCTTCGAGTTCTTGGATTCGCTTTTCTTGCAACAGTGGAAGTTGCACTGGCTTGATATCCACATCAGCTATTATCAGCCGTATCTCGCTGGTGTCGAAACTCCCCTTGGCAATGAGATCTCGCAAAAAATCCGCCATCATTTTGACCTTGACTTGGTAATTGTATATCTCGTCATTGAGCTTCTTTATTTCGGACTTGGTGCTCATTTCTGATGCAGCTGAGTTTGGGTTGGGTAGACCATACTTTAAATCTGGCTTATTGTTGAAAATTGTTGATGAATTTTGCAACATGCTCAAATTACTAGGAGGTCGAAATTGTCTCCATGGTGACACATTGTTATTGCTCAACTTTATCGGAGTTTGGTGTAAATGACTGGCATCTTCAAGAGAATTATCAACAAAGGATTCATTCTTAACGGGTGAAGACTTGCCGAGTCCGGCATCACTGTGTGGTTTACTTAGCAGTTTCAGACTCGTGGGGTTAGACCCCTCAGAGGTGTCTTTGTTTTCGAATAGTCCGCCTTGAGAAAAGCTCCCTTTAGCTTTGCGGGTGGGTAGTGGATCCTCGATGAAGGGGCTAGACATATCGTGGGTTGGTGGTGAGTGCCCCACGGATTCAGTACTTGATACCAGTCGTAAATCAAGTTCGAGGTCAAGTTCACGCGAAACACGTCGGCTACTGCTGTTTGATTGCTTACCTTCTGGAATCATTGAGTTTACCACCATGTCATTTTGGTTCATGGTTGTCCTTTTCTTTATAGAGGATTGCGAGGGAACGTGCGAGCCGCTATTGGTTTACTGCTAAAAATCGCGTTTAAATCGCATGGGTTTCAGATTTGTTTACATTTTTTATTTTTTTTTTTTCTTTTTTTACTTCGTTTTGTTCTCACTTAGGTTGATCTATAGTTTTACTTTCTTATATTGGCCAAAGTATGACGATAGTACTGTAGTGTAGCTTAATGTGGGAACCTCAACTGAGATCGTCTAAATGATCTGCTATTTGTAACATTCCTTATGTTTTGATATGTATCAATAATCCCAAAAGTAGATGTATTAAAAATGATTTACGTGGGGTGGTTCGTGGGTGTAAATCATGATTTTTGTATACTTATATATTTACATATATAAGAAAACTATAAATTCAAAGGGGTGTGAATTGTTGCATGTATTTTCATAGCAACAGACTGTGGAAACATGTTCACCACTCTACTGAACAAAGTGCCTCTAGATCCGCACCTGAGACTTCGAAATCCTTGTCCCGCTTCTCCGTCCACGTACCTGGATATACTTGCCTCTTCTCGCAACCTTTATTCTTGCCACAATCACCGCCTCCCCGACCCCCGCCACGCCCACCCTTCTTACCATCCGCTCCGACATATCCGCCTATTACACCACCCGGGATACTCAGGTCTTTCTCGACTTCCCCGGTGAACTTCCATCCTCCGGCACTCTGGTCCGTCGTAGAGTAAATTACCAACCTACCCTTCAACGTTTCCTGGTTAATCTTGTCCATCTGATCCTGTGACAAGTTAACCTGGTTACCATCTGCGTCCATCAACGGGTTGCTTCCGCTAATAGGCTGAGCGCATGCACTCTGCGCATCTGCTATTACGTCTGGCGAGCCTGTATCACCTCCTCTGCCTAGGTTGCAACAATCATAACTGTCATTACCGTCATATTTGATTCTGAACAGGGAGGTTCCACAGACCGTTACAGAGAATGCTGTGAACATGGTTAAATGTGATATTTTCATGTTGAAAAAGGCAAACTGATGTCTAGTAGATATTATGATAACAAGTAGTTAATTCTTCATAGATACACATATACTTGAAGGTAATTACGACAGCTATTTATACCATTCCTTCGTGAGTGCGTTAGCACTCATACCACACTATCTTCAGCATTGTCACAACACTCTGATGTCATAGTACATAGATATTCTATTGTGTTTTGGTGATATAACCATCGCAAACAATGACTCCTTGTAATGGATCATGCACTTCTCCAAATCAGCTGATTTCTGTACGGTTTCCCAGGTAATAGCCTGATTCATCCGCAGATTTGGTCATGCTCTCTGCAATCTTGTCTTTAGTTCATTCATTACAAATGGGCCTCGGAATCTTTAATGATTTCTTGTATGGTTATATAGTTTTTCAAGTTATTTCTACATACTTCGCTATGACTACTACCTTAGTCTCTGATGAGAAGAGAAGCCGCCAACGAGTCTCACCTGGAAGTGGAGGACTGGATTACAATATATAAGATTTGGCTTGCATATCACAAGCCGGGTGTAATGTATGTATTAGTTGTTTAGTTATGTAGTTAGATTGTTTGTTTGATAATTGCACTACTGTTAGTGCTAGTTTCCAGTAATCTTCCCTTAATCTTCCAACAGAGTTCCACAGTGAAAATTTTTCCTTGTCGTCTATTTGAGGTCGTCGGTTGGTGGCATAGCTTTTTGCCGATTGCACCACCAAAATCTCATCAGTTTCTTATTACACTTCGCCAATAAATAGTGTCTTGCACAATAAATAATAAAATCTCGGATATAAATATAATCGCCGAGAATATGAACCAACTGCAACCTACAGAGGTTACGCAATCTTAATCTTCCATTTGTATTTCCGTGATTTTCATTACATTCGGTTCGTCTTACATTCATGTGCTCGTGGCCTTAAATAATTATTCATAACCACGATTTCAAGAGATTTATTCACTTTAGTTCTTCGTGACCACTTTCATATACTTTTGTATATGGTACAACACCTTCTTGGTATCTGCTAACCCTTCCAAGTCATCATAGGTATATTTCATTAGACGACTTGAACTTATCCGACCTGAGATTCGCTATATTAGACGAAAGAACACATTCACAACTGATGGGCATTGACATAGATAGCTCGTCTACACATATGTAAGCTAGACCACCAGCAGAGAGGAGAAAACAAAAAAGACCCAAGAAAGAGTAACAAAATGTAATGTATTTTTCTAGATACTTCCTTGAAGACCAACAAAGCACTCATTTCGGTTCGGAAATGGTAACTACCCCACCATGATTATCCCTCTGTCATACTGTGCAATGTCATGCTACTAAACATGCGCTACACAGATTTGACTGTGATAAGGAGAAGCATATCAAAGGGAGCGTTGATCGCATGCAATTTCACCCTTTGAATCACAGCATTTTTGTATGCGGCGCATATCAAAACTTGTATTCCTTTTGTGGCAAATGTAACAAAATCAGACCCCTTCACCACACTTTACCACTTCTTTGATATGAAACTCACACAAACTTACACAGAAGACGTTAATAAGGGGCATATCAAAAGCCGATATCACATACTTTCCCCCCGCAAACAGTCTAAAATTGGAAAGCCTATCTAATCCACGCAGAAAAAAAGTGCCGCTTTTTTCACCATTTTGAGGTGTTTTTTTTGCCTCTTCATTATCATCATGTCAGTTTCGCCATCACTCACCAATTACACCATTGAGGAAATATATACCGTAGCACTAGACGCACTAGCTGGTCAAAAACCCACTTTCATGGTTGGGGAGTGTTCTGGAGTGAGCAGACATCCCATTGTGGCACCTAGAAGGAGGTGACAATCCAGCTTTTTCACGCATAATTGCTTGAGTGGGAGTCCCGAGCAGGTCAGGGTTTTCTTTTCACGCGACTTTGAGGAGAGATTGGGAGAAGGGTCTGAGGTTTGGCAGGGGCTGAGTACTCGTTTTGAATCGAGTCAGATGGCATGCCAATCTTATGCAGAGAGCCAGTGAGTTTAACTTGTGAGTGCAGCAAAGTCCTAGGTAATGATTGTGTTAATTGAGGCTGGTGCTTTTGGTTGCAAGTGGTTGAAGTGGAGACAAGTGGATACAAGTGGAAAGATTATGGATTGAGCAAGGCTGATCATTTGTGATATATTTTAAAGGGTCCCCCAACCTCGTCTAAATGTCCACAAAGTGGATTATTATATGACTGCAGTTCATCAGTACTGGAACATTTTACAGGAATGCTCTCAGATTGGAGATTGTGGATCATTGTCCTTCTATATGACTTCAACCGTAACTTGACAATGGACATACTAGCGAGTGAGTTTGATATGCAAGCACCAGACTAATGCACGCTCGACCTGTAAAAAGATGTTAAACATCTTTAAACAGTTAGAATTGTAGATTGATCTCTGTATTGATATTCTCTTTATTGCTTACTCTCATATTTATCCTACTTTCCGAGCTGAACATCACTTTTTTAGTGACATGCTCAGTCTACTTCTCTACACTGGATATCCACTCAATATGTAGTAATTGCGCTACTGCCAGACACTGTTTGGCAACTCCATTGTATGTCGTCGTATTTATTTCTTAGATTGTGTGAGTCTTTATCCAATTTCAAATCTGTGGCATACTTACCCTTGTATCTGACAGCCAAGTGGCTACAAATGGCTCACCCATAACAGTTTGTGGTTAGTTGATAGAAAATATATTGACTTGGAGATAACTTTTGATGTTAGAGAGCTTGATTGGGCCAGTTTGAGCAGGTGAGATGAACAATGATACCCTATTCTAACCGCTTTTTTCAACATTCTCCACCAATGTGTGCATTTGTATCTTCAACCTGAGCATCCCATATTTTGCAGTTTGACAACTCCTCTGGCTGTTTTGGGGGCACATTTCTCCAGGTTCCGGGCCATTCCGCCTCCGCATAGGTTGCTCAAAGCCTTTTTGATTCCTTCTCATCCTCTATTCAAGATCAAGCCTATGCAATTGCATGTACCTTACTTTTTCAGTTGATAGTTAATGCCCCAGCAATCAAGTGAGCATTAAATTGTCGATCTCAAACAAATTGGTCCATCTTTGATTCGAAAGTAGTAGCACTGCAAAGCACATTCCATATAGGCAATGTATAGCCCCACATAATCAATGATTCTCCCCACCTTTTATTACTTTGTAAAGGACCAGAATTCAAATTAGATTGATTGCTTCCCAATCAAAGGAAAGCCAACATTATCGAGAAACAGGTTACTGAAACAAGCTCTAACTAAACCGCAGATGAGCAATGTGATGTTCGCACAGGTTTCTCTGCTCTATGAATACTTGTTAAATGCTATCACTCAATTATACACCACTCCTGAAAAGCCTGTTTACCACACAGCGCTACCCTATAAATACCCGTCTCATGTTTATTTTGTTGAACATAAGATGACTACCAGTGTGCATGACGATACTTTAGGGGTATGTTACTGTTTAACCGTATGTTAAGTGGATATGGTAGATAAATCCTCCAAGAAAGGCTTGAGAGGTAGCTTCTAGTGAGAGAATTTGAAAAGATTTCACGGATAGTCACGTAGGGGTACTGAGGGTAAATGGGTAAATTATCCTGCACAGGTCTTTTGACTTTGTTTATTGATCATCCCTTCTTCCCCCATCTTCATCCCCGTGTTTCGGACAAACGTCAGAAAAACACCTCCCCAGTAATCTCTTGTTCATTTTTAGTGTTTGAGGCACGTGAGAAATTTGACAGAAAAGGTATAAAAAAAATAAAAAACAGAGGGGAATCGGCCGATCGGACGAGCCTGAAGCGAAGACAGAAAAGAAAGAATGGCCAACAAAATCCGTAATTCTGAGATGTTTTCACGTGACTCGTCGTCACAGTAGCAACTCGGAATTGTATCGTTGAAAGGAAAAAGACAAATACCGATACCATCTCTAGGTGGTGTGTCAGTCTACAAGTATCAAAGGTCTTACCCACATCACTCCATCAAAAACGTGGAAATGTTGTTGGTTGCGTGATTTGGGGGGGATCAATCGCATGCAAGCGGATATTGAAGCAAATCTAATGGTGACACAAAATACTCAGTATAAGTAATCAATCATAAAAACCGCTTTTTGTCGGATAAAGGGAGAGCTGTATAGTAGTAAAGTAGGTTAAAACGGTTTCTCTCTCTCTCTCTTTGCAAGTACTATATTGCATTATATGTGTTGGGGGTAAATGGATATCACACAGTTGTAATTCTGTAAGTTTTATAGTTTTACTGGAAAATAACGGAAGATAGAGAGAGAATTATTAAGAAAAAAAAGAAGAGGAAGAAGAAGAGGAAGAAGAAGAATTCACCATACAAAACAGAGACAGACAAACAAAGAGACAGAGAGACAGAGAGACAGAGAGACAGAGACAGAAAAAAAAAAAAAAATGATTGCTCTTAAAAATATATTTATATACAACAAACTAATCACTAATTTAAATTCAACATCTTTATTTCCTTCATTTCTTTTCCCCCTTTTTTTTTTTACTTCAATTGCACTGGGAATACACATACTTATCAAGTTAGTCTAACCCAATTGCTTTATCAATTACCTATTTCAATTGTAGTATTTGAAGGCAGCATCTGATTATTTACTGTCATTGCCATTGGTTATCATCACAATTGACACATACCCCCCCCCTCATCCCTTGTATATCTGAAGAAGTGAAGGGAATCAGTTAACAACCATTGTATTCAACCTACCTATACAATGACTGCGTTTGGAAATCATTTTACAATTGTTGTGTTTGGAGCAAGTGGAGACTTGGCTGCTAAAAAGACATTCCCCGCTTTATTTGGTTTGTTTAGAGAAAAGCAAATGAGTCATGATGTCCAAATCATTGGGTACGCTAGATCAGACTTACTGGAGGACAAATTCCATGAAAAGATTTCTCAGCACTTTAAAGGTGGCGATGAACAAACTAAAAAGGACTTTTTGAAGCTCACTTCTTATGTCAGGGGTCAATACGACACCGATGAAGGGTACCAAAAGTTGGAAAAAAGATGCCAGGAGTATGAAAAACAACATGGTGTTGACAAGCCACAAAGATTGTTTTATTTGGCATTACCTCCCTCTCAATTCACCGAGGTTTGTGAACAAATTAAAAAGAATGACTATGTCAAAGATGGAATTATCAGAGTTGTTATTGAGAAACCCTTTGGCCATGATTTAGAATCTGCAAGAGAGCTTCAGAAATCAATTGCCCCATTATTCACTGAAGATGAAATCTATAGGATCGACCACTACTTGGGTAAAGAAATGGTTAAAAACTTGTTGGTTTTGAGGTTTGGTAATGAGATTTTCAGTGGAGTATGGAATAAGAATTTCATTTCATCCATACAGATCAGTTTCAAGGAACCATTTGGAACTGAGGGAAGAGGTGGTTACTTTGATAACATTGGTATAATTAGAGATGTTATGCAAAACCATTTGTTACAAGTTTTGACCTTGTTGACCATGGAAAGACCAGTTTCTTTTGATCCTGAAGCGGTTAGAGATGAAAAAGTTAAGGTATTGAAGGCTTTTGATGCTATAAACACTAAAGATATTATTCTTGGGCAATATGGCAAGTCTGAGGACGGCAAAAAACCTGCTTACGTTGATGACGAAACTGTGTCTAAAGATTCTAAATGTGTCACTTATTGTGCTTTCCCGGTCAATATTCACAACGAAAGATGGGATGGTGTGCCAATAGTGTTGAGAGCTGGTAAGGCTTTGGATGAAGGAAAAGTCGAAGTTAGAATTCAATTCAAGCCTGTTGCCAAAGGTATGTTCAAGGATATTCTGAGGAACGAGTTGGTTATCAGAATCCAGCCAGAAGAAGCAATTTATTTGAAGATCAACTCCAAAATCCCTGGGGTCTCTACACAAACATCCTTGACTGATTTGGATTTGACTTATTCCAAACGTTATTCGAAAGATTTCTGGATTCCAGAAGCGTACGAATCTTTGCTTAGAGACGTTTTCCAAGGAAACCACGCCAATTTCGTTAGGGACGACGAATTGGATGTCTCATGGAAATTATTCACGCCACTATTGGAAGCTATTGAAAATGACAAGAATTTGAAGTTGGACATATATCCATATGGATCCAAAGGTCCAAAAGGCTTGAGACAATTCTTATCAAATCACGGTTACGTATTCGACACCCCTGGTACTTATCAATGGCCATTGACTGAACCTGATGTAAAGGGTAAAATTTAAGCTTTTATAGATTGTTTGTTTGTATTCTTTATCAGTTTATACAAAGATTGGAGGTTAAATTAGAAATCCCTTTCTCCGAAAAGTGGGGGTGCGAGGGCGGGGGAAGAGGGGGAAAGCGGTGTAAGAGATCCTCTTTGAGTAGTGAGCATATGTTTTCTTGTGCTGTTAATCATCTCAATGGATCTTTGGTCGCTTCTATTGACGAATTCATAAACAAAAAGATGCAAGTTGGGTGCAAGCTCCATTATGATCAATCACATTTATAGAGTAATTGGGCTAATTAGACAATGAAGTGCAATAGATATCCCTTAGTGGTCAATATTGAGGAGGGTTCTGTTCGGTGACTTTGGCTTGTCCAGCACCCTTAGTGTACTCTGCGTATAATAAGTAAATGGTTTTCTGACGAGTATCAAGTAACTACGTCCACTACCTGTTAGTAAATGAGATCTATTTGGCCTGTGTCTGTGGTGTCTGTGGTGTCTGTAGTGCGGGTGGTGGTACCTCATTATAAAAGTTGACTATTTTGTGAAAACACGTCTCGCTAACATTGACCTCTCATCAACACATTCCCCATTTCCACCAAACTTCAAAAATTGGCGAATGAGAAAAAAGATCCATGTGCTCCATTGATCCTATCATATATCATTAGCACGCGATGGTCTTTAGCCATTTTAATTTACTAGACAACTTGTCGGAAGATCTCTGGGGTCAATGCTGAAATATATGAAATTACTCAATTCTTCAAACGGAATTCTCAACCCTTTCTACAACGAAACCATAACATTAAGCCGGCTTTGAAGAGTTACATTCGAAATGCGGGGAGTTTCCTGTACTCGTGGGACCTGGATGCTACATATTTGTTTGACGACCAACCTCAGCCGGACAAGTTGGGTGGATTAAAACTTCAGTCCAAAAGTCAATTTCAAACACTATACGACTATTGCATTCGAGAAAAAGTGCCAGTTATTGCACATTTGTCTTATAAGAAGCACTCTACTGAGTATTTGTATGAGTTCAAAGACTTGATTGAGGAGTTACAACCAAGCTCGACAGTGAAATTGAGTGTCGAAATCTTATTCCTGAAGTACAAGAACAATTACGCNATAAGAAGCACTCTACTGAGTATTTGTATGAGTTCAAAGACTTGATTGAGGAGTTGCAACCAAGCTCGACAGTGAAATTGAGTGTCGAAATCTTATTCCTAAAGTACAAGAACAATTACTCCAAGAAAACTAAACGGAAGAAATGGGGGAGGTGTCGATTGTGTGCTTCTGGCGAATGAGTTACCAGATGAATAGTTCAAGGAGCAGCTGTCACATATTGTGCAAGCGTAGGCACCACAAAATGTCGAAAGCGAAGGGGAAAACACAGGATATTAGGGTACGATGGTGATTGGAAAATAAAGGCGTTACATGTTGAGTCACCAAGTTGGGCGTTCCCCCCACAACGATAGCCCAATGGCTTTGCAAAGTAACGTATACCTTCAGTGTCAATTCCATCATAGCGCTCCATTCTGTCCCAGGTAGTTCCAATTATATAGCCAGTTGGGAAAATGGCATCTCGTTTGAATATGTGAGATTTATAGTTTTATATATCTATTCACTACTTAGCCAGCTTACAGTCTCTACTGTCACTGAGCTAGAACAACAGGACAGCACTATCGGATAACTACAAAACTCAATGTTGAATAGAAGACTGCCACTAAAGATCTAAACTATACATGATTATCGACCAAACAAACTAAGAGGAAATATTAGAAAATCGTTCCTTTCATCCAATTGACAAA